ATTGTTATTCAATTTTAATAATTGAGGTTGCGAAATTCCAGCAAAGTGGGATCGAGTCAGCTAGTATTTTATTAAATTTTAACTGCACCAGAAGATGGAAAAATTTTCCGAAACCTATGTAGTTCTTGTGCTTAAATTATAGAAAATAAAATCAATATGATCGAATAATTCAAGGAAATTTTTATTTATATGAATTATTAAATATCTATTTATCTATTGTTAGTTCTCAGTAGTATATTTTTCTATGTATTTTTCCTTACTTATCATGTTCGCCCATTATAAACTGTTTTACGCTTTGATTTGCAATATTATCATAATACAGTATCATTCAATAACATAGCTCTAAACGTTAAGACATTGTTTTTACAACTAAATCCTAAATATCGATTTTGCCCAACAGAAATATCTAACTTTTTTCTTTTTTTTAGGTATATTGAGGCAACGAGACTACATAGCAGACAATGCAGGCTACAGAATTCTGAAAAATAAAAATGTATTCGTGGGAAGAAACATCAATGTTGGCGATGCTGTAAAATCGGCTAAAAAGTACCCGACCGGTGCTGGAACCTTAGATAAAACAGGATTTCAACACCAGAGACCAGTGATAACAATACCATACCAAGGCCACATTTCTTCGAATAATTATATTCCTCGCACATCTTCTCCTTTGTCGCAGAACTATATTCCTAGTAGTACTCCTTCTTCTGTTCCTCAGAGTTATAATTATATTCCTAGTAGTACTCCTTCTCCTATTCCACAGAGTTATAGCTATATTCCTAGTAGTACTCCTTCTCCTGTTCCGCAGAGTTATAACTATATTTCTAGTAGTACTGCTTCTCCTAATCTACAGAATTATGACTATATTCCTAGTAGTACTCCTTCCCCTATTCCACAGAGTTACAATTATATTCCTAGTACAACTGCTGCTCCTTCAGTAACATCTAGCTACAGTCCAAGCTTATCATACATTCCAAGTACGACTTCATCTTCAGTACCTTCTAGCTCTTATATTCCTAGCACCACTTCATCTCCTGTAAGTACCCTGTCGCCTACCGTAGATGTTTCTCATAATTCTATTGATTCTTCTACTCCGTTTAGGATTATAATTCCAACAGAAAATTCAGTAGTTGAAATTACACCAAATTCCTTTTCAAGATCACCTTATGAAAAGCTTCAGCTAGCACCTCTTCATAACCTAACTTATGTATCTAGTAATAATTTACAATCAACTGTAAATCCTTACATTGATACAACACAAGCTTCTTATTATGATAGAACTTCTTCTTTAACTACTTTAGCTCCTCCTGTGTATTCTCCTTCCTACAATCCTGCAGATTTTGGTGGTTCTCAAGAAGTAGATCACAATTCTTTAGATTACAATCCCTATGTACGTCATGTCGAAAATAGCTACAGGTTTCAAAACGGACCTACTTATCCTTTGGACAAGAATGGACGTCCTTATCTAGGAAATCAACCTAAAGCACAAACTTACGATGGAGTATCTGTATCTAACGATGGGTTTAGATACTATATACCACGAGCTTACCACGAAGAAGAGACATTACCAGGCGATAAAAGATCTGGTAGTTTTGGATATATTGACCCGTTCGGTATCAGGAGGGTTATTTATTATAATACTGCTCCTGGTAGTGGATTCCAACATAGAAAAAATAATAGATATGTAGGATTTAATGCACCTCCATATGATCCAAGGCCATACTGAATGAATTAAGAAATTATATTGTCAGGGTAAGATACAAGGGGAGCATTTTGAGGCATTAGTTGCATATGAGTTAGGTAAAGTCAGTAAATGTTTGGTATAATTGGAATGAACAAAATTTAAATTAAAATAAATACCTTTATCTACATATTTATTATTTTTTGAGTAGGAAAACAGATTCTACATAAGCTGTATTAAATATAAACAATGAAATTGTCTTATATATGTACCAAGAAATATGTATAAGAATGTATGCCTCCTTTTTATCTTACAATGACCATATCTTACCTTTGTATCCAAATTAAAAAAATATATATTGGATGCTCCTGACAAACTACTATATCCATCACTTAGGATAAATAAAGATCTTGCCAATAGAAGTGCCAAAAGATTTAAATAAAATGAAATATTGACATATTATCGACGAAAAACGAAGTTGAACGAAATTTTTGTACATTCTAATTTTATAACTGTTATGTTAAAACTGCCATGTTTAGATTTATTGAAATGGATTCTTGAGATAGTTTTAAAACTATTTCTTGGTCGCTTTTAAGTATTTCTTAATCATTTCTTCATCATTTCTTCTTCTTTCTACCATTTTCTTTTTATAGTAAAATTTGTTTTTTATTGTAGGAGAAAGTTGGTACCTACCCAATAATAATATCCAAGTTTTCTTCTATTTTGTTTATATTGTAAGGTCACACTACTATAAAATGCAATCAACTTTTGTACTTTATCGTAACTTTGGTTTTAGTACTGTGGCCTTAACTCCACTTTTTAGTTAATTATAGGCTAGTTTTAAAAACAAAAATTGTGATTGTAACAAAACTAATTTATTCTAGAATAGCTTTTTAAGTAAGTAGTTAAGTTTAATTTTTTGTTTTGATTCTCACGCTGCCAGGTGCCATTATCTTATATTATGCTTTGGTCCTGTGAATCACAGTTTATTTTTTTACCTTTATTTTTAGGCGAGGAAAATTAGCCTCCAATAAAAGCATGGCCCAAAAAAGTCATGTTTCTCACTGACCAAAAATTCGTTCAAAGCTGGATTTTTTTTTTAATTCCAAATATATGTTAAATTGATTTTAACTTTAAAGATCCATATTACGCGATATTTTATATTATTTAATACTCATTTGAGTGAACTTTTCTGTAGGATGCTTCGTTTTCAAATTTAAGATAAAAAAACTGAAAAAGTGCAAAAATTTTCTGTTTTTGCCCTCAAAAGTTTAGCGTAGCTCAGGAACCGTCGCAACCTCATGTAACATATATTTGGGATATTTATAGTAAATAAAAAAAATTAACTTTGTACTGTACGAATTTTTGTGCAGCATAAGTCTAATTTGCCCACCCTATTTCACATAACAGTGGCATAACGTCACGTACAGCTAATCAAATTTTATTCAGTATGGTGCACATGAAAGGAATAAATTCATTATTTTAAAAATCGGTAGCTGTCAAGAAAAATCCACTGACTTTTATATTAAAACGCAGGTTCCATGATATATTTTTTATGCGTTACGTCATAGATTATTTTCTAAAGAGAAATATGGGTCATTTCATACTTCTTTTCTAATGCTTTATTGTCTATTCAATCATAAAAATGAGGTTAAGATATTGTGGACCCTAAAACACAACGGGTTTTTAATAATATTTTTGTCATTTTAAGTTATTCAGTTAAAATATTTTTGTAAAAAATGGAAAGATTATCATTATTTTTGTATTTCAAATTCCTATTTAGGTCTTTGATTTTCAATATCAGTTATAACCTTTTTTTAATTTTTGTATTAGGGTGCTATTATATATATTTTTTAAAACCGTTGTTTGCACTTAGACCCCTTGACTTTCAAGAAGACATCACTTAGATACCTTGACTTCTGAGCAGAATGGAAAATAAAATAACTGCAGTAATGTATGAAAATTGTAGACTTACTTTATCTTGAATTTTAATGTAGGTATATTAAATACTTATGTACAACAAGACGCAAATCTGGGAGGGTGGTAAATAATTTTATTCATCACAATCATATTGTTTTTTTGCTTTTACGTAAAATCTAGAAATTACAATAAATTCCAGTATTTCTTCGAGCAACTCGGGAGGGGAGATGGTAATTGTTCTATTACCCCTCGTTGTATCCACCCTTATGTACAACACAATTTATTCGTCAGTATCTGTGTCATTGCTGTGTTATTGCTTCCTTTGTTGCATTATGGTGTAGCCCAATATTGATGGTAGATTGGTGGAAAAATTAGAAAAGTTCAATAAGATTTTCTCACTTTTCTTCTTAAATTTAAATTTTGTATCAACTGGATAAAGAACTGAAAGCTATACAGCAAGCTAACCTGATTTGTATGCCACCATTAATAATTCTTCGAATTACTCAATACTTCCTAATTTTGTTTTGTAAAAGAGAATTGTTGGACATGACTCTCTCAAATTAACTTCCTCGGATTCTTTTTTCCGTTTTTCGGAAGAAAGTGTTAAAAGTTGTAGAACATGAATAAAATGGTCATCTTCCATTGTTACTATGAAATTTCAACTTGAAGGTGCAGTTCTTTGAGACATACATGTAACTGACTTTTTAAACTTTTTTATAACCTATTTATAACTTCTTTATAATTTATTTATAACTTCCATATACCTTCTTTATAACTTCTTTATAAATTCTTTATATGATTACATAAACATCAAAAAAGACTTGTCAAGGTCATAAGCGCTATTCCAGTGTCCAAATGCCGTAGGCTATAGTGGAAAGCATGACGAAAAAATGCAAAATCACAAATCCTGGGGGCGGCGCCCATGGTCACGGTTTCAGTTTAAGTAGTTTTCACTGTTAAAGCCAAAATTTTGTAAATGAACCCACAGTTATTATGTAAAGATCTATGATCTCTATGAAAACACAAAACTGTTTTACCATTGTGATACAAATCAAAAGACAAAACCAGTTAGATATCAAAAGGTTAAAGTAAACATACAGACCCCTAGTGCTAGGACCCCTAGGAATGAACTACATTTTGTTAGTAGCTACACCTACACATGTCAGTATGCCCACTTATATCCTTTCTTCCACTTAAAAGACTGGTATTTTAACCACAACATTCCATTATCTGGATTTTTTTATTAAGTCACTTAGGCTCCTTGTGTTCTAAAATAATTATTTGTGTTATTTATAAAATTAAAATCACATTTATAGAAAATGTTTAACTTGACGACCTTTAACTATAATACAGTGAGAAAGACGAACCCTAAACTCTTCTTGTACTCTCTGTTTGGAAATAGGTAGTCTTGTAGAAATTAGTAATATTCTGTTGAGGATTCCTGGAAAAATTATGGTATTATTTCTTCTGGATCAAACATTCACTTTTTGGGGGCAATAAGTATGATACTCTTTCATACAGTGTTGCTCAATATCCAAGTCTGATAGTATAGTTGACATTAATATTTAGAAGAAATGTTGCTTCATCAGAAAACTACTTTTTTTAGAAATATAGGATCTGTCTTATTTTTCATTATAATCTTGCAAAACTGAACTCCTCGTATTAAAATCTTGTTCCAAGAGTTCCCACACTACATTTATGAGGATGTCATTTTAACTTTTAATCTTTTTAAGTACTTTCGAATTCACAATGTTATTATCTAATCTAATGCTACTTCCCCTGAACTAGTAAGCGTGGGTAATACCTTGAAATGCTAGTGGATCACCTGGTTTCTTGTTTCCCCACCTATTACGTTTAAAGAGGTCTTTTACAAAAAAACCTGCTCAATTTTGCTAATTGTGAATTGGTAAATTGGTTTTCCGCATGTGCTATTTATTGTTAAACATAGTACAAATATAGTCCTGGTTTTGTCTTCACAACCAATAATTAATAATATTTCGATTCTATCCATTTTAAGTAAGCTTCTTTTTAAATATTATACTCTAATAATATCACCATTAACCACTTGGCCAAAAATGTCAGTTAAGTCGAATTTAAATACAGTAGTCTGGATAAGGTAGATAATAATTCATAAAAAAAGCAAAAACAAGCAAAACACTAAAAAGAGCAAAAATTAAGTAGGTAAGATACTTAAAACGAGTCGAAAATAAATTGGTACTTGTCAACAAATTATAATAAACTTTTTGAAAGTACATAAAACTCAATTACTTACAGTCCCTCAATTACTTATAGCCTAATTCACAAAATCTTTAAATTTATCTCATTTAAAACCTTGAAAAAACATAACCTCTTTAATTTGAATAATAATAAGCACAGTTAAGATTCAACATTTGAGTGAAAAATCTCTCCATCGTCCAACTCTACTTTTTCTTTGAATTGACTCACATTTCTATCTTTAATGTAAAAAGGTTGTTAATTTAATTAATATGGTTGGATAGACAATTCTCCTAATTCTCAAACGAGTTATCACATTGTATCCACATTTACATTTAAAAAAATTTGACGACGTCATCAAGCTTACACAGATGACGTCACGTATAAAAAATATATCGCGTTATCCGAATTTGAATATAAAAATAGAATGATTTCTGGATGTCCCCCCATACTCAATGATTCATGACTTTAATCTTATAATTTGCTTCATAAAGTATATATAACATTTATCTTTACCAGTACTTTCCAGAAAATTAAATATATTTTTACCTGACATTTAATTCTACGCACGCTGCGCCACTGTTATGAAGATTTTTAAACTCTAGTTCCAGGACCTTTGGTTGTAACTATGTAGGTAGTTTTTTATAATGATAGTAAAATAATTCGTATTTTTACTAGCATTATATTATATAGGTTTATCTAAAATACAAATTTGATCAGTACCACTCTAACAATGTAATGCAAAAAAAATGTTTTTATGTACTAAAAATATAATTGTTGCAATGAATTAATTGTTTTATAAAAAATGAATATTTGTAAAAAATAAAAAATACAAAATATTATGTATATTTTTATACCTTTCTTTTCAATGGTTCCCGGAAAAATTGGTCGAAGAAAAAGGTCTTAAACAATTTGATCTAATATCAAATAGCCTAAACATCAATGATCTACAATACATTTGGTCTAAATACAGAATATGATCTAAACTTAGATTAAACAAGTGTTGTTTATCCAAATTCGATGTGTCAACCAGAAAATTTGGTATTTTAGTGACTTAAATTTTGGAAATTAACGTTGAAAATGCCAAGATGTGTTGTAAAAAGCTGTATTTACTGTATTTATAATAGTAGAGGGAGGAAAATTACATTTATTTTATTAAGTTATTTAATTTTTAGAGATTCTACCAAAGGCCATATTTGTTTATTTCAAAATAAGCAGAACCGGACTCGGTCATTTGTACATATTACTAGTTGCAAATTGGATAAAAGTTTTTATTGTAAACTGTTTACTATTTCTTGTTTTATGGGGAATCTGTTTTCAGAAAGTAAAGAGAGTAACATACAATCAAATACAAAAATATCAATTTCATTACCAATTTATTCGTTTCAAACTTCACAACTGAGGTTTCAAAACTATTTATTCAGTATTTTTTTATATTAACATGAGATCGATCCATTTACTTTATATTCTGTTTTAAGATTATTATTTATAAGATAATTTTCTTTAATATAAATACTCTCTTTATACAAGGTGACCCAACGAAAACTTGACATGGGAGTTTTGGGTATTAATATTGTGGATGATAAGAAACGCTCGGACAGATCGATTTTAGTTGGACATATTGCGTCATTCTCCTTCACCGTGTTACTCTAACCAATGCAATTTAAATAGGGAAAGTGCCAAGTATGACACGTCATTGAAAAGATAATTTTATAGAGAATTCGGCAATATGACTATTTATTGCATTACTTTTGATTTTAACGCTTACTAGCGGGATACAAAACGTATTTTAAAGTGTGACACTTCATTTGAAATCTAATTTTATTTGAAATTCAATGCGTACCATATTTTTTTTATTTTGGTTAACTACGATAAAGTTTGTATTTGTTAACATTTAAACTCTGCAATTATTTAAGTTGTTGTTTTATTTAATTATGTTTTGTTATGTTGTTTATACGGCCCGACCGCGATGTACTGTTTGCCCTGCCGTATAAAGAGGCAGCGCTGATATTCGTTTCTAGCATAATTAATGCTATCTCTTTGTAGTTTTCACTTTTTGGAAAAAATGGTATTCTTCATAAAAGGTTTACTTATTTTAATATTTATAATAATCCAAACAGAAATTGAATATCACTTTGCTTTAGTGAAATAATGACAAAAGTATAAAAATCAATGAAATACTTAGGCCGAACCAAAAATTATGAAAATCAACTGGGTTTTAAATTTAAAAACATTATTTTAAAAAAATCCAAGAGATTCAACTTCTATTTGGATTGTTATTATTTTTCAATTAAAAATTTTTGAATACTAACATTTTTTCAAAAAGGTGAACATAAAAAGTTTTTTCTCATCTGAATGAAAGTACTAGTAACAAAAACTGAGTACTTTGAATACTTAAGTACAAATTTTGAGGTAGAATTCACTCTAGTACTGCTTAGCTGTGCCGACACTGTATGCTGCTTACTTCGAAAAGATGTAAGCTTTGTCCCAACATCTCACAAAACCGTAATATTACGGTCATCGTCATGCGCAGTAAATAAAAACCGTTCGACTTTGGGCTTTATTGATAGGTTTTTATTTACTGCGCATGACGATGACCGTAATATTACGGTTTTGTGAGATGTTCGGACAAAGCTGTAGTAACATATGCATGCTCTATGTGGATGAGTTGGAATTATTTACATTACATTCTTTTGTATATTGTACCAAGTTCTTCGCGTTTCTTTTTAATATGAAATTTCCTCCAAAGTTCAGCATCAAGTGTCATACCCATATATTTTGCTATATTAGCAAAAGGAATCTATGTGTCGTTTATTCTAATGGGAATAGTATGTTCATTTTAATTATCGCTGAATTTGATACAGCTTTGCCTTTATTTAATTTAATTCTTTTTGTCCAGGTGTTAGTCTGGTCTATAGATTTTTGCAATTTTGTATTAACGTCTTCGTTATCTTTTCCAACAGCCAGGATTTCAGAATCATTAGCAAATATTGTGATGGTATTGGGTTCAAGATTAGGAATATCTCTAGTATATAACTATAGTCTATTTTTATGTATGAGAGAGTATTAAAATAATAAAGCGTTCGTAATCCATAGGCGTATCACTTCTTTTAATAGACAGTTAAAATATCTTTTGAAGTTATTCCTCGAGTATACACTTATATTTTCACCTAATTAACCTGCTTATAACTTCTAAACAGCTGAAGGTAAAAAACTGTAATTTTTTCTAAAATGTTTTATTTTTCCACAAGGTATGTTAGGAACATTGTGTCAAACGGGTTATGTAGGTATAAGGGTTTAAACTTTGACTTTTAAACAACGTTACGTTCATAAATAATAATTTTAATATAAAAACTACTTCTTAACTACAAATCCAAATCAGAATCTAAATCAGAAGATGAACTAACTGTCGCAACCAATACTTACAATGAGTGGCTCCATCATTTCATCAGTAATATTGTCCAACTTCCACATTTTCTCTTCTTCTTTAATCGTATGATTTACTGCCTGTTCCCAGTTTTCAGGCTTCACATTATTTACAGCCTCCGAAAACAACTGTTTAACATCACTTATTTTAAAAGAATTATTTTTTCTTGAAACTTCTCCCTTTATCTGTGCCCATATCAGTTCAATCGGGTTTACTTCGCAATGATATGGTAGTGATCTAACCACCGTCATCCCACGATTTTTTGCAATTTCATCAATTTCATATTTTTCGAATTTCTCTTTACGAAGGGAACACAAATAATACAGTTCTTTTCTCACAGAACCGGGATGGAACTTAATATTCTTTGAATTTAGCCAATTCTGTAAATCTTTTTTTAACCACTTGGTTGTGGGCATTTTTTCTATAAGTCTCGAGTGATAACTTGCATTATCCATTACTATTATACAGTTCTGAGGAAAAATTTCTATAATTTTTTCGAACCACTCTTTAAAGACAGCAGCATTCATGTCCTCATGGTAGTCACCGGTACGAGTAGATTCTAAAGTCAATAAACCACCTTTAACAAAACCGTTTGAACTACCGATGTGTACTATTATTAGTCTGCGCCCCTTTCCTGATGGTGGATTTAAACCAGTAGATAAATTATTTAAAAAAGCCTGTCTTCGACTTGTAACAGTTTCATCTTGCCAAAATTTATTTGGTTTAAGTCCCTCGTTGATCCATGTTTCATTTAAATAAAA